GCTCAAGGCCTGAACCCCAGAAGGACCACCGCGCACACACTCAGGGCTCAGCAATCCTGAGTCCAAATGCCTGGAGACCTGCTTTCCAGAGCCAGAGCGCACAGACCCGGTTTAAAGGCGGCTGAGCCGGACACGCACCACTTCGTAGCTTTTAACAGGCTCTCCGGGAAACCCCTCAAACACCGAATAGCTTTGAGCAGACCTTTTCTCAGCCCTCCCTTACTCATTTCTGGTTTAATCGAAATCATTGACCACAAATCATTTAATCTTTGGGTTGTTTCTTCGAAAGCTTTTTTTTTTTTTTTTTTTTAACTTCCAAAGGGGGCAGAGGGCAGTAAAGAAGGCTGGAACCTTGCGATTCCACACCTGCTTTGTTGCATGCGGTTAAGAAACTGCTAATCCCAGCAAACCAGTTACCCCAGGTGGGAAGGAGACTCATAGAGCAGAATGCTCTTTTAATTTCCCTTGAAACTTCAGCCGGAGTGGAATCCTCCCTACTTCTCTGCCAAGGCCCGTAGCGACCACCTTGGGCAACAGCTCTCAGCGGGAGGGGCTGGGACAGGGGCGTCTTTGCCTCATTCTGGGTAGGAAAGGGAGGAACCTGCGGCCGGCTAAAGGACTGCTGCGCCGAGAGGAGAGCGCCCTGCGGCCGCGCGGTAGTGCCGGGGGTTCCCGAGAGGCCAAGGGTCCACTTCCAGCCCCCTCCGCTGCCCAGTGAGCCCCGGTCCTCCCGGGCCTGGCTCCCGGGCCGGCCCGCTGCGGGGTTGGAGGCCGCGCTTGCAGACCGGCCCTCCGCGCTCCACCAGGGAGGAGCTGAGAAGCGCAGCTCCAGACCCAGCGGCCAGCAAAAATAACAGGCTTGGCAGCGCCGAACGCAAAGGGTCGAACTTTCCGATTTCTAGTAGAGCGCCTGGCAGGCGCTCTGGAGGCGTCCTGTGGCCTAGGGACACCTGTCACGACCATCCGGCGCCCTGCGGCTGAAGTTGTCTCCCTACCCCGGCGCTGGCTCCCCGGGCTCCAGAGGCCGGTGCACCCCTCCCAGCTCCTGGACCCAGAGGTCTCATTAGACCCCAGAGTAGCGCGCCTCCCAGCAAAGCAAAATCCTTCCAGCCTGGCCGCAGCGACCCGGCTGCTGGAGGCAGAGGCGCTGGAAGACGCTCGGCCAGGAAGCCTTGGGACACCAAAAACGAACGCTGTGGTGACCAGGCCTTCCTGAGACCTGCTGCTTGGAGGTGCCTGGCTGGGCGGCCACCGTCACCAGCAGCAGCCAGCGTGGGCCGCGGGACAGTCCACCCAGCGCGCCACCATTTATTTCTGTTCCGAGTCTTCGGAACCGCGTGTCCCACACCCCTGGCCCACGGTGGCACATTTTCAGTCCTAAAAAGAACTGCAGCGCTCAGCTCCGTCTGCCATTTTTTAATTAATCGGCCCCCTCGCTTTCAGCCGGATCTCAGCTCACCAACCCGGGTTGTCTCCTGCCCTGACCTCCCGCGCCCCAGTCTCACTCCAGCCGGCGAGGCTCCGGCTCCGCACAAATGCTCACTCTGCGGCCTTAGCCCGTAGTGCCTGGGCCTCTCCGTGATCCCCGCTGACGCCCAGCGCGTGGAGCAGACCCTCCTTCACGTCCTCCAGGAACAGAAAAGAGAGGGGGGATGAAGAAAATATAGAGGGAATTGTAGAAAGAAAGAAGGAAGGAGGGAGAAAGAAAGGAAGGAATAGGGGAAAGCAAGCAAGCAAAAACAAAACCAGGGTGAACTTCCAAAGAAAGGAAGAAAGGCAAAAAAGGGAAGAAAACAAACCAGTGCACTGGCAAAGGAAGGGATGAGGGGGGAGGAAGGAAGGGGCGAGAACGAAAGGAAGAGGAAGAAAGAAAATCATAAAGAAAGAAAAAATAGAGAGAGAGAGAGAGAGAGAAAACAAACCAAACCAGAATGCCTTGGCGGAGAAAGGAGGAAAGGCAGAAAGAACAAAACCAGAAAGAACTGGCGCGCCGTGCGGGCTTGGGGACCGCTTGCCCTGGAACAATTCGTAATTCGCTCCCACGCAGCCCAGGAGAAGGTTTGGCCGCCTCGGCCCTGGCCCTTCTACCCAAGCCAGCGCCGAAGCCGAAGACCCTCACGCAGCCTCCCTCAGACGGCCCAACTCTGGACGCCAGGCCGCAGCAGCCCCTCCGGGAGAACCGGCTTGCGCTTCCCGCCTGGGCCGAGGCCGCCGGGCTCCCCAGCGTCCCGGCCGCCCACCTGCGGCCTCACCTTCGGGGAAGACGGCGCGCATCTTCAGGTAGCTAGTGGTGAGGCGAATGATGGATGCTTTATCCAGCTGCGAGGTGATGGCCGACGGCAACGGGAGCAGCTTGGCCAGCTCGTAAAACTCGCCATTTTCCTTCTCCCTCCTGGTCTTGGCCGCATTCTTGGACTTTTCCTTCATCGCGCCTCAGCTCCGGGCATATTAAACCCGGCCGTGCTCCAGGCCCGCGGAGCCTCGCTCCGGCGGCGGGGATGGGGAAGGGGGCGCCGGGAGCCAGATGAGTCCACGACGAGGAGCGCAGGCAGGTGCGCTGGGCCTCCCGGGGCTCCGAGATGCCTCCCTGCAGCCGCCAGGCCTGAGTTCCGAGCAACCCGGCGGCGCCTCCCCGCGCTCCGCCCGCCGCCGACCGGGGCGCAGCCTCCTCCGGGCCGGACAGCCCCAGGGCACCAGGATCCCCGTTCCTGCTCGCTCCTTCTGGCGCTTGCTTCCCCCCTCCTGCCTCGGCCTTCCTGGGGGTGTGGGGGCGGCGGGCACGGAGGCGGAGGCTCTGCTTACTCCTTCTCTGAGTGTTCGCACCGGCTGCGGCGAGGCCCCTCCGGATCGGAGGGCGGCAAGGGCGGCAAAGGCGGCGGCGGCCGCGGAGCCATGGAGCGGGAGGCGAGCGGAGGGGAGTGGGCCGAAGGCGGCTGGGGCCTGGCCCGGGCCCGGGCGCGCTCTCCTGCCCTTTTTGGCGGCTTCCTGTGCCTTGAGACGCAGCGCTGGAACCCGCGGTCTGTGGCGAGGCGCAGCAGTTTCCCGGTCCACGTGCGGCCGAGCCGCGTTTGTTTATGGCGGACCCGCCTTCGGGCGGAGCACTGGCCGCTGGGGTCCGGGGAGGGGGGGGCGGTAGGGGGGAGGGACCGCGGCGGGGGCGGGGGCGGTGAATCTCGCCTCCGACCCCGCCGCGGCCCTGGAGTTACAGGCGCGCCTCCGCGTCGCTGCCTCCAGGGACTCCCGGGAGAGACCCGCGCGCCCCCGGGCTCGGGGAAGTCGCGGTGAGTGCACACGGCGTGCCGCGGCGACCTGCTCCTGAGCGCCGGTCGCCGGACCCGGGAGCTAGGATGGGCGGCGGGGAGGGAGAGGGAAGGAGGGGTGCCAAAGCGTCCCCTGTGGCTCTTGGGCAGGTCACCAGCAGGCGCGGCCGAAAGGAAGCAGCGCCATTCGCCGGCAAGGCGCCCTGAGGGGGAGGACCGAGCCCTCCGAGCGAGCGCTGGTCCCAAGTCCTCGCCCTCCCCGCCTCGCAGGTCCAAGAGCTGAAAGGGTGAAAGCCAGGAGTCCCCCTCCACCCCATTTCACACAAGAAAACGGCATGAGTGGCTCCGAAGTGACCCTCTGCCCTTTCTGTCCTCGAAACACTAAGGTGAATAGGGACAGTCGCATTCTCAGGACGAGTGGAAGGCCGCTGGGGCGCGCAGGCCAGGGAAAGGGAGGGGCCGGGGAGCCCAGCCTAGCAGTGAGGCCTCTCCCAGGGCGCCGGAGAAAACAGGGCCCAACTGCCCGGGCAGCCGCGCAGCCGGATCCAGAGCAGCCGGAATTTTGGGGAATCGCCGCTGGGTGGGCACTTAAGGGCGAAAGTCTCTGAGCCAGGTCACAGGGTGGGCGCAGGTGGGGCCCATTGTAACGGGGCAGAAGGCAATTGGAGAAAGAAGGCACCATTGAAGACGCGGCCACCGGGCATTCCGGAGCTCTTCTTCAGGTTCGCTTTGGACCTAAAGAGTCCTTTTGTCACGCCTCTGTCCTCTCCTGTCCGGCTCCTGCAGCCTGGAAATGGTGTGCGGCCCAGAGTCCTCTGCGCACCCCTGCCACGGCGGTCTCATAACCCCACCTCTTCCAGGAGTCCAGCTTCCCAAGCGCCCCAGTCCAGAGACAGGCGCAGAGGATGCAGGGCAGTTCTTTCCTTGGCGTCGACATTTTGTGGGACTCTCGGCCGTGTGCCGCAGGGTACAGAGCTGTGGGGCAGGGTGGTGCGTGACCTGGAGGTCAGGACGGGCCAGGAGTACGCCGGGCTGCGGGCGCGGGCGCAGAGATTTGGGTGCCCGACGTCACCGCTCTCGCCACCGGCCCAGGATCAAAAGCCTGCTGCTCCGAAAATTCGCTGTCAGACAGCGACTGAGTACCCCCTTCCCTTCCCTTCACCAGGAAGGCCTGGCTTTCGGCAACCGTGCCTGTAGCTGTAGCTGTAGCTGTCCCTTTTCCCGGGACCCCTTTTAAGGTCAAAAGTTCGAAGGCGTTCGAAGCGGCGCAGGCTCCCTCCAGGGACTGGAAGGTGTGCGCAAACCCCGGCTCGCCCCTTGCCTGTCTAGCCCCTTGCGAAGCCCAGATCGTGGCCAGAGCTTGCTCTCAGGCGAAGTGCTCCGAAACCGCGATGCCACGCGAGCCGGGCGCACAGAGGAACACGCTTTCCTTTGGGGTTTCGGATCCAGAAGGGCTTTCCTTTGCAGCGGCTTGAGCAGAGGGCCGTGCGCGAGCGGCGTGGGTCTGCAGTGCTCAAGCCGGAGGAGTTGGGCCCACCTCGGCGCCCAGGATCCGGCGCCTGGCTGCGCTGACAGCTGCCGGCTCGGGGCCTCTGGGAGAAGGCGCTCCAAGAGGTTAGAGGCTACCGACCCGGCCCCCGCCGCAGCTTCCGCAGGCGGCCCCCGAGCCCGCTCTGGCACCTCCTGGGCTTCGGGAGGATTTAACGCGTTTCTCACCCCCACGACTTCCGACCCTCAATTATGGACCGCGGAGAATTCCTCTCGGGCTTGAAAGGGATTACTCAGATGGCAGAAACATGGCTAAGTGGAAGTGGGAGAAACCTGACAAGTAACAAGAACGGAAACTTTCCTCAAGGCAAATTTCCCGGATTTTACGGGAAAGCGCACTTGTCTTCCCAGGCGCAGCCTCTGTTCACGCGTCCTCAAGACGGGTTCGAAGAGTGCGCTTGGGAGGTAGCGCAAGGCCGTGTTTGAAGAATGGAAGATACTTGGGGGTGAGATAACCTCCAGGCCCAACGCCAGCTCAGCAGCTGCCCAAGCACATCCTTTCGCCGTATACACAGCTGTGGGTCTGGGGTCCCTGACAGCACCACGCCAAGTACCAAAAGTATTCGGGCACCGCACCTCGAGGCTTCCCAGGTAGGAATGACAGTGATACCGCGGTGGAATCGGGAAGGAAGAACCCCAGCTCTTGGTGGGGCCGTCCCGGAGCTCTCCCTGCCTGAAGGGGAGCCTGGGACCCTCGGAAAAGGACTCTTAAAGCGAACACCCACAGGCCCTATGTGGGACACTTAGTAAGCTGGACGCTCTATTGGAATGGAAAAGTACTGGGCAGGCGCTCACTGGACTCCTCAGGAGCAGCGGCGGTGACAGCAGGTTGGGACAACTCCTACGTCTCTCTCTTCTGGCGCGGGGAGAAATTTCGGGTCTGGGCATTCGGCCTAAAGCCGAAGGCCCAGCTCAGAACGCCCGGACCAGCCTCGCGGGCCCCAGGGGGGAGGTACAGATGCAGCGCCACGAGTCCGAGGCACCGTCAGATATGGCGGTTCACCCACTGGCCCCGAAAGAGCTTGCAGAGTCGGGAATGAAAGGTGGCTGGGTGCTGGGGAAAGGCGGCGGGGAGAGGGAGCGGAGGCACTGGGGTCTGGAGCTCCCAGGGCGTCCCTACCCGCAGTCTGTCCTGCGGCGCGTGCGAGCAAACCGCGGCTTACCCCACCTGTTAGAAATTTTCCATTAGGAAACTTATCTGGAAGAAATTCAGGCCCCACGAGGAACGAGGCGGGGCGGGATCGTCTCACAGCTGCTTGGATTTTCCGCTTCTGATGCTCCGCAACTCTTTTTCCCCAGGCGGCGCCCGCGCCTACCTGAGATCCATCCCCAGCGGAAACCGACTTTCGAGAGAGATCTAGGGAAGAACTCCCAGCTGTTACCCTCGGGATGGGAAAGGCTGTTGTTGTGGCGGCGGGAGATCAGAGACCTTGTCACTAACGAGGTGGGGGAGGGGAAAGAATTTCCAACCTCTGAAGTGGAGTTTAAGAACTTTCATCGCCCCAGCAAGCAGAGGCAACAGAAAATCCAAGACTGTGTTAATTCAAGCCTATTTGGTTTACACACCCTTGTGTACACCCGCAATCAATTACGATATAGTTATGCCAGAAAAGTCCGCTTGGTCCAGCATCACATATATGACCATTTCATGGCTAGGAGGATTTTTGGTCTGGACTATCTGAAAGACTTCCTCGATTTTTCACTCCTTTCCTTGTGTAAACCCTGTGGAGACGTCACCAACTGTCCTCGGGGTCATTGGTACTTCCAAAAAAAGCGGGGGGGGCAATCGCAGTATTGCTACCCACTGTTTCCAAAGAATTCCAGGTATGCAGAGCAAGTCCGGAATAATGTATTCCTCCGGAGACCAAGAGAGTAATTCGTTGTCTGCTGTTTCCCCAAGTAGGAGAAAGAAATTTATGTCTCTTTTTTGCTTGTTTTAATAAATTGCTTCACTGGAAGTTACTCCTTTAGAGAAAGTGTTTGCTTTTAGGTTAGTCAACTTTTCTGATTATCTCCTTACCTGCAGCAAGCCCGGGCAGATCTGCCTGTGTGCCCTGGTCTAGAGCTCCCATTGCTCCAAAGCCATCAGCCGCAATTGGCAGACCTCAGCTCTGTCTCCGTCACGAGAGAAGAGGGAGGGATGGAAGAATGCCAGGGGTTGGGGATTACGCCCACTTCCTGGGCAGCCTGAAGCTGATGGTCTTGGTTCTTCTCCTTGAACTCAGGTGTCTGGGATAAATTCGGGCTCTGGGGTTGGGACCGAGAGAGGGTCTGCAGTCAGTGCTTCTTGTCTCAGGATTTGCATAGCTGCTCCCCGCTTCTCTATCCCCCTCAAGCCAATACTTTTAGGGGAATAAAAATGGTGTCCCTGGTAGTTCATGATAGTGATTAATTAATGATAGTGACTAGCAAACTCTTTGAGAGAGACCAAAGCTGCACCTGAGTCGCCACACCTTCCTTCTATTTTTACCTGGGGATGAGGGTTGAGTCCTTTCCTCTGCATTTTCCTTTCCTGCCTCCCAAGCTCTTTGTCTCTGGTCCCTGAGAAGGCTTCGGGACTTCAGTGGGCCCCTTACAATACACAGACATCCAGTGGCCTTCAGTGAGGGTGGGGACCCATCTGGGGCACTCAGGGTCGGCTCCCTGGGCCTGGCCAGGTATTCTGGGGAAAAGGACAAGGACAAGGGAGTCCAGCGTCCAGAGCCGACCTCCTGGCACTCCCCTCGACCCCCACGACCTGGCGCCCTCTCCCAGAGGGCTCTCGGCCCAGCTTAACGGAAACGTCGCCTCAAAGTCCAGGGTTGGGGAGACGCTGCACATCTGCTCCCTAGCGAAGCCCTGCTTTCGGTTTAGAAACATCCCGACGACTTCCAGGGAGCCCAAGACTCGTCTGTAAACCCCTGCGCTGGAGGAATCCTAGCCTGGTGTGCACTGAAATTCCTCAGAGGTTACATATTACCCACCGCCTCGAAATCTGAAAACCGATTAGTTCATTAACAACGTAGGGAATCGGCCCCTCAAAGATATGAACCAAAAACTCCCATTTAAGAAACAAAATCTATCCACCTCAGATAAATATTTCTGTACATCAAGAAAAGCACAGACATACGGGGCTCATATTTTTTTCCTAAGCATATAATAATTGTGATAGCCAACCCTTAACATAGAATAGGGCTGCTATAGTCCTTTAAAGACACAGGCTCATTGATTTAAAATATATATATAGGTGGTCTCTTTGCAAAGCAACGCTATCAGTGAGGAATCTACTTCCTAATCTCAACAAATCTGTAAGAAGAGGCACGCTCATTCGTTCGAGGTTTAAAGAGGGAAAGTTACTGAAAGGGCGGCGTGCTGGCGGGCGCGCTGGGTTGGCCCCTCCAGCCAAGCTGGGACTAGGCGTGGACATTTTCCCGCTTCGAGCGGATTTTTCTTTTACTTTCTTTCTTTTCTTTTGAAGGCCAGCGTGAAAGGTGAGTTTCCTGAGACGTGACTGTCGGGGAGCCCATTCATCCCTTCCAGGAGGAGGAGACGAAGCCCACGGCCGAGGGCTGCTCCGGGTCAGAGGTTCCGCCGCGCAGGGCGAGAGAAAGCCAGATTTCAGATCGGAGCGGCGGCGGAGCCACGCCGGGCGTAGGGACAGCACCCAATCTGGTCAGGCCCTGAAGCGTTGGCACTGGGGCGGTGACGAGTACGGGTGGCCAACTCTCCCGGCCCTAGGCCACACATACCTGGGCCTCGGGAGCTGCGGGCCACACTCGGGCACGCGGCAAGGGCGGCTGGAGCGGGCGCAGTGGCAGGCTTCCCGGTGGCCAGGAGTCTAGTTAATTCCGCGAAGGGGCTCGGAACTCCACCCGTAGCCTCGGGCGCCCGCTTGGGGGATTATTTCAGAGATACAATTCGTGGGCGTCGGGATCCTCCCTTTTGCGCAAAGTCTCGGGACCGCCCGCGTGGTTAGAAACGCAGGCCGGGCAGGTGGGCGGAAGGGGGCGCAGTGTGCAAGGCCGCACAAGCGGCTCGCGCACCTGGAGGAGGGATCGTTGGGTGCGCGCACACAACCCTGGTAGGGAGCTCAGTGCGTATCCCACCACGGTCTTGTGCGGTGTTAGGGCGACTGTGCGTGGCGCTCACATGCGTGCCTGGGGCCGGGCGGGCGTCTGTCCCGGCCCTGACGCGGGCAGCCGCTGCCCATCTCCCATCCTCCCTCTCCCTCTCCGGCCAGCCCCCTCTCCGCCCCACCCTCCCCAGTTTCTTCCCGCTGGGGGAGAAGGACCAGGGCTGGGACCCCTGTGGGGCTGGCGGGAGACCGGAACTCACAGCAGGTGGGTACTGAGATGTTTAGTGAGAATCAGAAGCCAGTGCTTTCTTAGCTTCGCCAAAGCCCCAGAGGTATACCCAGCTCTCGCCTACGTCCTGCTCTGAATCCATGCGCTGGAAGTTCACCCTTCTCCGGGGAGACCTGGCGTGGTCCCCGATTGGGGAAGAAGAAGGTCCAATGCCCGCCACTGTCCCTCGCCCCTACACTGAGCCAGAATTCCTTCTAGGCGCTAAAGCAAATCCCGAAGCAGTCAAGGAGGTCAGCACATTTTCCTGTAAAAGGAAAGACTTTAAATTATCACCTTTTTCAGCTTAAGAACATTTTTTCCTGGAGATAGCTTCGGCTGCTAACTACGGAGTGACTTCGAACCGTGTGGTCTACGAATAATTTTGGTACCGACTTCAGTCCTGTCTTCGTTTTACAGAGGACGGAAACAAAATAATCGTGGTGATTGCACCATCGCCCTTTCCACGCTGCGAGTGTAGACTAAGACTTTAACCTAACAACGGAATTCTTTTCGGTGCTTCTCTCCCACAAGCTTTTGAAGCAGGCAGAGTGAGCCCTGGGGCTCCTTCCTCGGAAGGGCACACAGATTTGCGCAGTCGGGGTCCCTTCTCCTGGTTTTCCTCTTTAAGGGAGAGGCGGTCGTGGTGCGAGTGTGCGCAGGGCTTACAGGGGTTGGGCGAGTGCCACTCCGCTCCCACAGTGGAAGCCAATTAAGCCGCTTTATTATGATGCGAGAGACTTATGTTCAATCTTGGGTTTGATTTTGGAGAGGTCCTCCTATTTGCCAGGCCACGCACTATTGACATACCTAATTTTGAATAAATACAAGGAAAAAAAAAGGCACGGAGGTGTCGCCGTGGGAGGAGGGCCGTTCAGTGACACAGGTAGACGCTCGCTTCCTCTGGCAAAGCAGCGCGTGCCACTTTCGACTTGCTCAGGAGCTCTCGACCCTGGATGGAAAGCCACAGCCTCCAATTCCTTTTAAAGAATCTAAACAAGGTGGAGAGTCCTGGAATACTTCTGTGTGAATTTGCTTTATTCCTGGATAGTTGGGAGCTGGGGAAGGAAAAAGATCAGCGCTGTAGTTACCCATGCAAAAGTAATTTTTGTGTTGATTGGAGTCTACTTAAGGTAATTGAACAGAAAATACCTCCCTGTTTGAGCAACATTAAGGATGCTCCATTGAAAGCTACTTGGCTTACTTATATTTCTGTTTAGCCTGATCCCTAGTCCTCATTTTTGAAGAAGCTGTCAGTTCTGACAAATGAAGGAAAGTGGTCTCCAGGAGAGATACACGTGCCAGGAGCACTTGAATCCCACAGCTGACTCCACCCATCTGTTCTTTGAGATCATGTCACTTGCACCCTACTTGACTGAGTTTCAGTAGTTGGATTTTCTAAAAGTAAATCTCAGAAATGGAAATTCATACTCATTATCTTGCACAAACATTTTAATTTCTTAGTGGCCTGAGTTGAGCCAGGGAGCAAGAACGCTTCCTGCTGTAGCCACAGTGGTCCCTTAAAAGCTGCATAACATCAGCTGAGGATTAGAAAGGCAATAATTTAAACACAGGGAAAATTCCTAGCTTCAAGAAAAGAAAAAAGGCTCCAAGTGAAGTTACAAAATTTGTACAAAACTCCTTTGAACAATTATTTGACAGTAAACGTCTTTTTCTAGCTATGTTTGCTGATCTGAATTTCTCAGCCACAGTTCATGTGTGAACCATGAGACTCTTGTTCTCAGCAAAGATGACTAATGGATCTTTTAGAAATCCATGCTTTGATTTCCCGTGTTAGCCGTGGAAGTTGCTTCAATTGGATAGTTTATGTGACAGCTGTCAAGAGAACTTTGGGTAAAATTTGTCAGGAGTATCTCTAAAAACATTATTCATAATTAAAAGCTGATTCACAGAAATCACCAGAAAAATTATGGCACATTATGTTCAAACATGTTTTTAGGCCATGTGGAATAAATAAAATCATTATGGTCTGACTAATACCCCCTCCCAACCTTCCTCTCACGGTGCCAGGAAGTCCTGATACAGCTTCGTAGATTTCAGAACAGCCTGTGTGACATGAGCCAGAAAACATCTGTGTTTTCTCCAGGTATTTTCTCTATTGATAATGCAAGTTACAAGTCTGTTCTTTAAAAGATAACTGAATAGTGTAGCCCAAGGGCTTGGGAAGGCAGCACTGAAAGGATTATCTTTGATAACTTTAGGATTTTTTAAAGTGGGGAGAAAGACTTTAAGAAAACTCCATGTGGTATAGTCTGAAAGACCGAGTAAATCCCCGGGCACATAGACCCACCTTGTTATAGGCCAGCTGATGTGCCACAGGTTTTTGACATCTTCGTGGTGAAATTCCCAAGAGCAATCTTTTTTTCTTTTTCTTTGAGACAGTCTTTCTGTGATACCCAGGATGGAGTGCAGTGGTACCATCTTAGTTAACTGCAACCTCCATCTCTGGGGTTTGAGTGATTCTCAGCCTCCCGAGTAGCTGGGACTACAGGCGTGTGCCACCACGCTGGCTAATTTTTGTATTTTTAGTAGAGATGGGGTTTCACCATGTTGGCCAGGCATGTCTCTGACTCCTGACTTCAGATGATCCACCCTCCCCCACGTTGGCCTCCCAAAGTTCTGGGATTACAGGTGTG